TGTCCATGTCCATGTCCATGTCCATGTCCGTGTCCCAGGGACTCAGTTTCAGCCGGAGCCACTCTCCAGAAGACCTACACTCTGCTGCCCCTGCTGGCCAACAACAGGGAGAGACGCTGCATCGCTCTGGATGGGAAACTGAAGCATGAAGACACCAACCTGGCTTCATCCAGCATGTGAGCAGCCAATCAGAGGGCGGAGCTCTCCTCTGGGGGCGTGGCCTTCACTCTCTGTCCACTCTTCTGTTCCAGAGTCAAAGAGGGGGTTCTGAAGGAGGTTCTGGGGATCCTGGTTTCGTACCGAGTCCTGGTCAAGCTCATCGTCGGAGGGTCAGTGTCAGTGTCTGTCTTTGTCTTTGTCTTTGTCTTAGTGTGACGTCATCATGGATTAAACCATGAGGTTGTGGGTTCAATCCCAGGCTCCTGGGCACACAGCTGTGTTTTAACCAATAACTAATGATCAATCATCGTTAACGACCAATGACCTTCTCACGGCGTCCCTCTGTGTCTCTGTCTCTGTCTCTGTCCACAGGTCACTGGGTTCAAGGTGGGTTCACGTCTTTAAAGTTTCCATGAGGACAAAATCCAAAGCTGTCTCCTCGTCCACAAACCTCTGGTTCTGTGTTCTGTTTGTAGTGAAGTGGCTCTGGAGGTTCCCTTCAAACTGATGCACCCCAAACCTGACGCAGGTGACCACGCCCACCACCTCACTGTGGCCACGCCCACCACCTCACTGTGGCCACGCCCATCACCTCACTGTGGGACAGTTATAACCCCAGATCAGTCCATGGAGAAAATCTAGCTAGTCTATGTGGTCTGGTCTAAGTCTATGTGGTCTGGTCTAAGTCTATGTGGTCTGGTCTAAGTCTATGTGGTCTGGTCTAAGTCTATGTGGTCTGTGGTGTGGTCTATGGTCTAAGTCTATGTGGTCTGGTCTAAGTCTATGTGGTCTGGTCTAAGTCTATGTGGTGTGGTCTAGTGTCAGTTGGACTCTGATCTACTCTGATCCTCTGATCCTCTGAACTTCATCACCACTTCATGACTTGATCCACCGTAGAAAGATCATCACTGGGATGAGGGAATAAAGCAGCGTGTACGAGAAACGCTCCGGGCCGTGACGGAGACGGAGAAGCTGACAGCAGTGTTCAAGATGAGGGGCGGGGACCCTGGTTGTCTGATATGTTCTGTGAGATCCTGACAGAGAGTTCCTCTAATAATCAGACTGTTATTAGACTGTTCTGTTCTGACTTTCTGATTTCTCTGCTCCACATTTGACAATCATTCATTTATCATTGATTTATTATGAAGTGAATCAATCATTGATCCTTGATTTTACTGAGCATCAGTCACATCAGTCACATGGCACTAATCACAAGTCTTTGGTTTCAGCTAAGAAGTTTAATTTTGTTTCCTCACCGTTAACTGTTGTCATTATTTGAGATGTTTTTTGTTTGTTTGTTTGTTTTTAATTGTTGAACATTTGGCCGTGACTTACTCTTTGTCTCCGTCTGTTTTGTGCTGCCGACAGTAAAGGAGAGGTAAGAGGTCGGAGCTGTTGGTGTTAGCTTCCATTGTTAGCAGCGTCTTTAGCTGGGCTAACGTGCAGCTGTGGTTGTCTTCAGTGAGGAGGAGGAGGAGGTGGTGTTCCAGGAGTTCCAGCGCTCCTACCTGAAGGGCATGATGGAGGACAATGACGGAGAAGGGAATGTGTCAGGTGGAGAGGATGTGGCGCCCCCTACAGAGAAATAGATGAACTGAGGGGGGGTGCTGGGACTTTAGTGCGGGGGAGTTCTTTTAGCTGCTAAAATGCTAACACGCTAAAGAAAAGCAGAAGAGTTTGGCTTCAGTTCCTCTGATTACTTTGAACGTTTTCTTTGTTCAGACAAACTGATAAATTCACCACCTGACGGTGTGTGTGTGTGTGTGTGTGTGTGTGTGTCTTCTTGTCTGATGCTTAGTTGTGTCGTGCAGAACTGTAGTAAATCTGTGTCTCCAGGTTCGGTACCAGGCACCGATGCTTACGTGTGGAAATAAAGAGCGGTACCGATGATAAGAATCACTTTGGTTTATTCATTTTCTCATCATGCATCAGGATTTAAACGTTTTCAGAAGCAAAATGATAAAAGCTGTGAAGACTACGTTGAAACAAACTAAACAAAAAAAACAAAACAAAACCAAACAGTTTTTAATTTACTCCGAGGAAACAAAGTGCAGCTGAAAACGCAGGTGTGAACCCGGTCACGTCAACATGCATTTTCTCTTTCTCCACTGAAGACAGAATCATCAGAGTGGATTTATCTCCTCAGTCAAAGGAGGGGATTCAAACAGACCACCGGGTGGCGTCGCCTTCACAGGTGTTTTTTTTTCCGTTTGGTTCATTTTTTTTTTCTACAGATTTTGAACTTTAGTCAGATTGATTTTAACCCCAGAGTCCTCCCCAAAAAGACCCTTTGACCGATGGAACAATCAGGAAGTTCAGGAACTGTTTGGTTCCACACAGACCTGGATCCAGACTCCTGCCCCTCCTCCGGTCCCTACACCAAACATCCCAAAATGTTCCATGGTCAAGACCAAGAAGAACCAGGAAGCGCACTCCACCACCATCCTGACAGCGTCAGATGTTGACCAGTGGTCTACATCTGACAGGGTCAGATGTAGACCACTGGTCTGGCCACTGGTCTACATCTGAAGGTGTGAGGATTGGCCGACTGAGGAGAAAGCCCCTCCTTTGAAGCTGGCGGTTATAAATACACTGAAAGTTTGATTGGCTGACACGGAAACTTCATCTAGGACTGATTGAAGGACCGACTCCAGCCTATCACGGCTGAGGACGGTCACATTTACATTTGAGCGTTTGGCCGACGCCTTTTTTATCCAGCGACAGGAGGTGGAGTGGTAGAGTTCCCTGTGGTCGGGTCCCAGTTAAAATCTTTGAGTGGAGGAGGTGTGATCAAGGAATCCCGGCCTTTGGGAACATAGTTGCAGGAGTCGGGGTAGAGGAGGTAGCCGGAGAAGCAGCTGGAGCTCTCCTCGTCCACGAACATGCCGTTGGTTTCCTCACTCTTCACCTGCAGCCACAGCTGGTCGCCCTTAGTCAGGTGCAGGATGCTGGTCTGACTGGCGGTGGCGTAGTTGTTCACTTCCGTCATCTTGACCACAGGGAAGTAGTTGAGGAACAGACCAACCTTCAGAGACTTCATAGCAACCGACAGGTGGAAGGAGAAGATGTAGGTTCCGTTGACGGGCGCCGTGTACATGCCCAGGTACGGGTTGAAGTGCGACTGGGCGTTGGTGAGGACGCGTGGGAAGGGGACGGGCCAGTGGATGACTGGGAATCGCACCTCCAGACAAGCAGAGAATGCCGATTGGATGGCGGGGGTGCAGGGACCAGGTGGTCCTGGGGGGCCACTTGGACCATTTTCACCAGCTGGCCCATTTGGGCCGTTCACACCTGCCACTCCGTTGCTACCAGCAGGTCCCTGCTCCCCCTTTTGTCCCTTCTGTCCAGCAGCTCCATCCTTGCCGTCGACGCAGTCACATATGCCCTTATCGCCCTTGTCGCCCTTCAGGCCCTCTGACCCCGGTGTACCGTGAATGCCTGTGTCACCTTTGTTCCCTTTTGAACCTTTAGTTCCCGGTTCTCCGTTTACACCGGGCAGACCCCTTGTGCCAGCTGGTCCTACAGGTCCTTGAGGACCTGGAATCCCCTGGACATTCTCGCAGTAGTTAGGGCATTCACCCTTTTCCCCCTGAGGACCTGGGCTTCCTGCTGGTCCATTAGTCCCCAAGTCGCCTTTCTCTCCTGGAAAACACAAAATTAGGAACAAACTTGGCTTCGACTCCGACATCACAAACGTATCTGACGGTTCACTGATCCACTGGTTCTCAACCAGGGGTTACGGCTCGTCTGTCGCTGACGTTCTACCGGACGACTTTTACTGCAAGTCAACGGTGATAGAAAGACCTACGATTAGCCTTTGATCCCACTGACCTTTAAACCCTCGAGATCCTTTTGGTCCGCTGAAACCCGCCAGACCTTCCTGTCCTTTCTGTCCATCGTCACCCTTCTGACCTGGGACCATAAAAAGAAGAGAGGGGGAAAAAAAACAATTACAGTTTTGGGGTTTTTCTGTTTTTTTGGCACCGCTTCCATGGTTTATTGGGCATGTAGCAAATGCTAAGCTAACTATTGCAGAGTCATAGTCACACATTTATTCTTTAGTCATTTAGCACTCTGCTAGTTAGCATTGCCTTCGTGCAGTACTCACCCTTGATCCCTGGAAGTCCCCTGAATCCAGGTCTCCCTGGGAACCCCGTCTGTCCTCTGAGGCCCGGGCTGCCTGACTGTCCTGTTCAACCAGTGAGACACCAGTCAGGATCAAACCAACAACCCAAGACATTACCACACTTCACTTTGACATCAGTAAGGGGCAGGCACCTCGAAATTGCCAGCACTATTTTGATTGGTTCTTTATGGCAGTGCCACTACTCTCTCAGCAGATAAGACCACCTAGCTTCAGTACCTGCTCACTGGTTTGCTGTTAGTGCCCCCTTGTTGCTGTGAGCAGCAACTGCAGCACCTTCTTTAAAAATATGTGACGCGACGTCGGTGCCTTTTCTATCTGTTAGCCAATTCTGTAGCTACCTGTAGTTAAGGTGTCGTACGACTGCTGTGGTTAAACCTGGTCTGTGTTTGATGGACAGTCTACGTGCCTGGTAGACCGCGGTCTCCTCGGTCTCCTTTTGCACCCACTTTGCCTTTGCAGTGTGAACAGATGCACTCGAACGGGACCTGGTCCATGGGCAGCGGCGTCATAGAGTTCAGTAACATGTCGCACATGGTGGATTCCTGGAACGGCTGAATGGTTGGGAAGGACAGATTCCCACTGCGTCCAGGTGGGACTGGCCGCAGGTTAGGCCACCTGTTTACAGTGGCATTGGGAGATTGTGGGGGGGGCGTCGTGTTGGTCGTGTTGGTCGTGTTGGTCGTGGCGGTCGTGGCGGTCGTGGCGGTAGAGAAGCAGAAGGAGGACAGGACGAGGAGGCGCACCAGCCCTGACAACATCTGTGACGGAAAAGAGGGAAAAAATCAGGATCCTGGACCTGGTTTAGGACTGTTGTGGATGACAGACTGTGGAGCATCAAGATTCCCTTCTATTCTGGACCACGGTCGACACCAGGACGTGGTCAACAGTCGGAAGTTACATTTTGGGACTAGAGATGAGAATGAGCTCAAAGAAAGTCAACATATAAATGAATTAAATCGCCATGGACTTTGGTCTGAACTAAAATCTCTGATTTTCTCCATGGACTTTGGTCTGAACTAAAATCTCTGATTTTCTCCATGGACTTTGGTCTGAACTAAAATCTCTGATTTTCTCCATGGACTTTGGTCTGAACTAAAATCTCTGATTTTCTCCATGGACTTTGGTCTGAACTAAAATCTCTGATTTTCTCCATGGACTTTGGTCTGAACTAAAATCTCTGATTTTCTCCATGGACTTTGGTCTGAACTAAAATCTCTGATTTTCTCCATGAGGTTTGGTCTGAACTAAAATGTTGGTTTCAAACCCCGGACCATCTGGCCTCAGGTACAGACTAGTACTTGTCCACGGTGCTAACCATGGACCACTGCTGATGGTGTCAGCTGGAACCTCAGTCAATGAACATTTATTAAAACTAAACTAAAGCACAGACACTTTTTTGTCTTAAATGTATTCGTTAAATATCGACTAATGAAACAGCAGAGATGGTTGTCGGGTTGAAGACTCACCGCTGCGTGCGTTCGTGCGTGCGTTGGTACGTGCGGCTCACCGTCGTCTGCTGAAGTCTGTGGAAGATGAGCAGGGTGGAGGAGGCTTTGATGCTTTTATAATCCTGCTGCGGAACAAAAGGCCTTTTCAGCGCAGCTTCTCACCTCCACACAAAGGAGCGGCCGTCATTGTCCTGAGGAGGAGGAACTGGGCTCCGCTCTGCTCCGTGACCTGCTTCTGTGTAAAAATACCCAGAAAATTCAAACACAGAGAGAAAGAAGAGACGACCTTATCATTCCATCGTCCTCCACCCTCCATTTTTCCTCCTCTTTCTTCACCGTCCTCCACCTTCTGAAGCCTCTGGACGCTCAGCGCTGCTTCATTGTTGGACGGCGGCGATTGGTCCTTCACCTTTGTCCTGAAACAACCTGTCCTGGCATCTGCCCCCGAACCTGAAGACTTCACCAAGACCCAACAGTCAGAGCCAACAGTCGGAGCCAACAGTCAGAGCCAACAGCCAGACCTAACAGTCAGACCTAACAGTCAGACCTAACAGCCAGACCTAACAGTCAGAGCCAACAGCCAGAGCCAACAGTCAGAGCCAACAGCCAGAGCCAACAGTCAGACCTAACAGTCAGACCTAACAGTCAGAGCCAACGGTCAGAGCCAACAGTCAGAGCCAACAGCCAGACCTAACAGTCAGAGCCAACAGCCAGACCTAACAGTCAGAGCCAACGGTCAGAGCCAACAGTCAGAGCCAACAGTCGGAGCCAACAGTCAGAGCCAACAGCCAGACCTAACAGTCAGACCTAACAGCCAGACCTAACAGTCAGAGCCAACGGTCAGAGCCAACAGTCAGAGCCAACAGCCAGACCTAACAGTCAGACCTAACAGTCAGACCCAACAGTCAGAGCCAGCAGTCAGACCTAACAGTCAGACCCAACAGTCAGAGCAAACAGTCAGAGCCAACAGTCAAAGCCAACAGTCAGAGCCAACAGCCAGAGCCAACAGTCAGACCCAACAGTCAGAGCAAACAGTCAGAGCCAACAGTCGGAGCCAACAGTCAGACCTAACAGGCAGACCTAACACTCAGAGCCAACAGTCAGACCCAACAGTCAGAGCAAACAGTCAGAGCCAACAGTCGGAGCCAACAGGTGAAGAGGAGCAAACCCCCGACAGATGAAGCCAAACACTGACCAGAAAGATAAAAAAGAGCAACAGACCAGAAGGTTGTTTCTACAGACGGACAACTCTGTCAGGGAAAGAACAACCGGAGGAAAAAACCCTCCAAAACAACAGGACGACACAGATTTTAAAAAGCTAAAGATTGTTTTAAAGTGAAGAAAGAGAAAAGGCGGGAAACAGACATAAAGCCCAAAACAGAGAAACAACGTTTCGACGTGTGTTTTTAAACGGTTGGTCCATGAACTCAGGGCGGCCATGTTGGATTACTCTGCGTTAACGTAGCCCAGAGCAGACGCTCGTTAGCGCACGTTTGGACAAACAGCAGATGGTGCTAATTCCGACACACTGAAACCCAACAAGCAAAAAAGTTTACGTCTAAAATGTAAAAATAAATGTATAAGTTGTAAAACGTTTCAGTT